GCCTTGCCCCGCGCCTTGCCCTTGCTCTTGGCAGGCGCGGAGGATCCAACACCACTCCCTCCAGCCATGGAAAAAACAAGAAAGACTCGAAGAAGATCTGACAAGAAGGAGAAAAAAGATTACAGAAAGGAAGTACCTAGTACTCTCCCTCAAAATAACTCTAACGACAACGGGGATACCGGAAATGAGAACAGGAATAGCAAGAATGAAAGCCCAGGGAGCAGCGCGCGCAAGGAACTAAGGAAGAATAAGAAGCAAAAAGAGTAAAGTGAAAGGGGAAGAGGCGCGAGCAAGAGAAAAGGGGTTTTTTCCAAAATCCAAACGGCCACAACACGTGTCAACCAGGGGGCATAACTGGCGACACGATTAATGACCCCCCATTATGATGAATGCCAGTCATAATTACATAACCGTCACTCCCACTCACACGCTGCTTGCACGTTTTCAAAAACGAAGCAACAGTTGTGACACGTGGTGTCTTGACAGATAGATGTACACGAAGGGACACGGCCGCTTGACGAGCGCAGACTTAAATCCTCGACCTACGGTCTTCGGAGCTCGGGGGGCTAGTGTACTATCCGTACTGCCACGCCGAGCTCGAGCTCAACATTGCGGCGCAAAGTGAGCTCGGGCGTGCGCTGAGAGATCTCGACTTAGACGAGAACCACTATCTAATCAGATCATAACTGATCTCAGAGGATCTCGCTCCAGACGAGATCCGTTATCTAATCATATCATATCTAATCTCAGGCCCAAGGCCCAGCGCAACCCTAATTCACGCTAAGGTACGTGCTTTACTTATACAAGACTCAGACTCATACAAACCCTAACTTTAGCATCAGAGTCTCTTTTGCAGGTACCACCCCCATCTTGGAGCATTCAAGCGTACCAGTGAAGCAGGCTCACCGACCTTACCCAGTGGATCAACTCTACCTCAGATCCCCGGTAAGAACACTTATCAAGGAAAGAGAGAGAATTGCAATGGCTCTATTGACCATGCTACCATTCTACCTGCAAGCTCGGACTTTCTCAAGACTTCGGCTATCAGATTGTCCGTCCTTACGACTATTTTATGGCTTTGAAAGTAGTGGCATAAGTGGCGAGCCGCCTGTACCAAAGCGAAGATTGTCTTTTCGAGCTGCTAGTATCGAGTCTCTACTTCTTGCAGGACTCTACTAACGAAGTATACCAGAACTTGCTCTTTCCTTTCTTGTACCAAGGCGGCACTAATGGCCTTTTTAGAGACAACTATGCAGACTATGAGGTCTGACTGAGGGTTCTGTTTAGACAAGAGTGGTGGTGTAGCAAGCATCGCTTTGAATTCTTGGAATGATAATTCACACTCCTCGGTCCATTGGAATTTGCGAGCCTTCTTCAATAGCGACATTATTGGCCTAGAATTGTCCGCCATGCATGGTAAGAAACGCACCAGTGATGTTATCCGCCCAGCCAAGCGCTGCACTTCCTTGACGTTGCGAGGTCTCCTCATGTCGATGATAGCCTCATCGAACACCTGCCTTAGGTCTTTGATGTGATCGTCCATGGAGTCAGACTTTACCACCATGTCGTCTACATACACTTCTAAACACTTCTCGATCTGCTAGTGGAAGATCTTGTCTGAGTCTTTGGTAAGTTGCCTCCGCGTTCTTCAAACCAACCGGCATGACTCTGTAATGAAAGTTAGCCGAGTCTATGATGAATGTTGTTTTCCCCTCGTCCGGTGGATACATGGGTATCTGATTGTACCCAGAATAAGCATCAAGGAAGCTAAGTATTTGATGGCTTGCTACCCCATCTGCCAATGCGTCTATGTGTGGCAGGGAATAAACATCTTTCGGGCATGCCTTGTTCGGATCTGTGTGGTCGGTACACATCCGCCATTTGCCATTGGCCTTCTCGACCATTACCACATTGGCCAACCAAGTAGAGTACTTAACTTCTCTGATAAATCCCGTAGCTTGGTTGTCTCTTCTTTTATTGCCTGGGCCCTTTCTCCCCCCATCTTTCTTTTCTTTTGGGCGATGGGCTTAGCGTCTCGACACACGGAGAGCCGATGGCAATGGAAACTTGGATCGATGCGTAGCATATCGGCTGCCGTCTAGGAAAACAGGTCCGAGTATTGCACCAGAATTTGCTTAATGTCTCTCGCTTCGTCCGGCAATAGTTGGGAACTCAAGTATGTGACATGTTCTTCATTTTTCCCGAGTTGAAACGAGATTGTCGTCTCAATCGGCTCAACGCGGTGCTCGTCTTCTATCCGGGGATCAAGCTCCAGGTCTATGACCGGTTTCTGTTGGCACACATCGCTAATGGCATTGACTTCCCATCTCGGCTTCGAGGTTGGCTGCATCTTTAAGATGGCGAGATAACATTCGCGGGCCGACTTTTGATCGGCGTGCAGAGTGATTATAGTTCCTTCTTCATAGGGGAATTTCATGGCTAGGTGTGGAGTGGAGACGATAGCTCGTAGCTTGTTCAGGGAGGGTCGACCCAATAGGATGTTATACGAAGTGTTAGCATGTACCACCACGTACCGCACTCTAATCATTCGCCTTTGCTGGTCATCCCCGAAGTAGGTGTATAGGTCTATCATCCCCCGAGTGTCTACTCTTTCACTTCCTTGATCAATAAACGTCTTTTTCACAATACAGTTGTTGATCTCCACACTGATGACCATGGGATCATCTTGCACTAGGTCGACTCCTTGGAAATCACGGTCGGTAAATGTAATAGGTGACATATGGATCGAAGCTGCCCGGTCTACGACGTTTACCGACTTGATTGCCCTTAAGTGTCTTTTACGGGCTGAGGACGTGCTTCCTCCTCCTGCGAATCCTCCCGCAATGGTATTTATCACCCGTCTGGGTTGATTTCGGTCTTGTTGTCGGTTGCTTCTTTCTTGAGACCTGCTTCGTTCACGAGATCTGTCCCTCGGAGGTGCTCTGTCTCGGTTCTCTCTTCTGTATTCCCTTTTACTAGAATGGTAGTCATGCTTTCTTCTGTCCGAAGGTCGAACGAAGCTTTGAAGATGTCTGGCTTTGACGAGGTCTTCGATGCGGTCTCAAAATGCAGAACATTCCTCAGTGGTGTGCCCTCGATTTCGGTGATGGCACGCTTTTATTTTATCCGCATGGGGCAAAGTCATAGCTCTTCGGGGTACAGCCAAGACTTCTGTGGCTAAGGCCTGCTCCAACACCTTGGCCCTGCTGGTGTTCAGTGGCGTGTAGTGCATGTATCTTGGCCCCCTGTTATTCTTCTCGCGGTCAGGTACATCGCGGGGGCGGGATCTGGGGGGCTCCTTGTCACTTTCTTTCTTTTCGTAAAAAAGGTCGGGTCGGTTTTGACTCCGAAACGCGGCCAATTCCTCCATTTGCATGTATTTTGTGGCCCTATGCCTCAAGTCGTCCAAGTCCTGAGGTGGCTTCTTACATAAGCTGTTGACGAAAGGGTCGGGCTTTAGTGCCGTGGTCAGGTGGTGCATTGCCACAACCGGGTCCAGGTCTCGAATGTCATTTGTCCGAACCTTTCCATGAAGGTTCTTAGAGGTTCCTTCTTCTCTTGGCGAATGTTGACCAGTGCGATTGAGGTGAGCTGATGAGGACGGCTCGTGGCAAACTGTATCGCGAACCGGGAAGATAAGGTTGTGAATGAGTTTACCTATCCCGGTGGGAGTCTCGTGAACCAATTAAGTGCTGGTCCTTTAAATGAGGTGGGGAAGACTTTACACATGATAGCATCGTCGTCAGTATATAAACTGACTTGAGTAACGAATGCATCCAGGTGTTCCTCTGGGTCGGTGGTTCCATCATACTTTTCTAAAGCCAAGTTTTTCCAATTGTCGGGCAGCCGGGCACCGACAATGTCTGGAGTGAAAGGCGTCTTCCCTTGCCTTCGTTGTTGATCCAAGGTCATCCTTGTTACGCCACCAGTCGGTCGGGGGGCCCTCGTCTCTTTGTACCATCTGAAGACTCCCCTAATCTCGGGTTGACTGAGCGTTGGGGGTACCATGGGATGGATGCCATGATCGGTTGTCGCTTCTAAGCTCTGCGTTCTCTTTTCTTAGGACCGACAACTCGTGGGTGTCTTTTTCTTGGAGCTTCTTTAGTTCCATCATTTTGGCCTTCAATTGCTCGATGCCCGATGATGGGTTGGGTGGTTGAGACCGGGTTACATAAGACTCATCTACTCCTTCGTTATGATTCGTCTGTTGCCTGGGTTCTCGGGGCATACCGAGGTTGTGAGCTGCGGCGTTTTCCTGGTGACTTCTGGTTGCTACCATCTTGATGACTCAGGGCCGAGAACCGTTTTGGTTTTCGGCCCCACGGTGGGCGCCAAAATGTTCCTGCATAGAAACACTCCTCTTGTCGCTCCTGCCTGATGATCTTCCAAGTCTTCGGTGTCGGCCGAATACTGCCTCCAAGGGGTGGGGAGGGTACCTGCAAAGGCACTCCGACGATCAAGTAAGTGTTCGGTATAGAGCAATAAAGCTTTTATGCTAGATAAACCATACCTGTTCAATCAGTCCCATCAATACCGTATTTATAGTGACGTTCTTGGGCCTGGTGGGCTTTCTGGATTATTGGGCTAGTGCACAAGGTTTTGCACACTGATTACAGCTGACGTGGATGTGTTTAATGTAATTAATATCTATTTTTCTTTTTCTCATGGAAATTCGTTATAGCTGAATACCCATTCGATATGTTCATCGGCCGAGGGGGTATTCGGCATGTTCATTGACCGAAGGAGTATTCGGCCTTCCCCTTGGACGGAGGGGTATTCGGCCTTTTCCTTGGCCGAAGGGGTATTCGGCCTTCCCCTTGGACGGAGGGGTATTCGGCCTTTTCCTTGGCCGAAGGGGTGTTCGGCCTGTTCATTGGCCGAAGGGTTGTTCGCCCTTCCCCTTGGACGGAGGGGTATTCGGCCTTTTCCTTGGCCGAAGGGGTGTTCGGCCTTTTCCTTGGCCGAAGGGGTGTTCGGCCTGTTCATTGGCCTGAGGGGTTATTCGGCCTGAAGGGGGTATTCGGCCCATGGGGGTATTCGGCCCATGGGGGTATTCGACCTATGGTGGTACTCGGCCTATTCATTGACATGATGGGTATTCGGCCTGAAGGGGGTATTCGGCCCATGGTGGTACTCGGCCTATTCATTGGCCTGATGGGTACCCGACCTGAGGGGGGTACTCGGCCTAAGGAGGTATTCGGCCTATGGTGGTACTCTGCCTATTCATTGGCCTGATGGGTATTCGGCCTGAAGGGGGTATTCGGCCCATGGTGGTACTCAACTTATTCATTGACATGATGGGTATTCGGCCTGAAGGGGGTATTCGGCCCATGGTGGTACTCGGCCTATTCATTGGCCTGATGGGTACCCGACCTGAGGGGGGTACTCGGCCTAAGGAGGTATTCGGCCTATGGTGGTACTCTGCCTATTCATTGGCCTGATGGGTATTCGGCCTGAAGGGGGTATTCGGCCCATGGTGGTACTCAACTTATTCATTGACATGATGGGTATTCGGCCTGAAGGGGGTATTCGGCCCATGGTGGTACTCGGCCTATTCATTGGCATGATGGGTACTCGGCCTGAGGGGGTGTGTTTAGTGTTAACTTTGACCGGGTGGTGTGTAGTCCCAGTACAAAAGGGCAGACAAAGCAAAGAATGAACTCATAGATTTATATTGGTTCGTCTCAACCACTAACGTCCAATTCTTGATCTAACCACATCAAGTTCCACCATCTTATTAAAGATACAAGTATTTTTACCAAACCATTCTTGGCTCAACCCTAAGGATCCTTTGAATTGTTTCTTTAATTAAGCAACTACTAAGGTATTCTTACAAGTTTTTCCAAGCTCAAACAATAAGTATTTTTTTACAAACAAGCCTCTCCAAACTCAAACAATAAATATTCTTTTACATACAAGCCTCTTCATACCCAAACCCAATAACTTAAAGTTACAAGGGTTCATAAAGTTGTTTTGTCTTCCTTTTAAGACTCGATACAATAGGTTAAGTGCAAAGATGATTACATAAGAATGAAGAAATAATATATTGTCATCACCGATTGTTGTCTCTTTCTTTATGAACTTCAAACTTCCTTTTATAAAGTTTCAATGAAAATGACTGTTACAAATCTAATGAAGGACCATCCTTGAAAATCATAGGATTTTTGACAAGGTCTATAGTTAGGAGGTCAAAAGAAGCTAATAGAGGGGATGTGCTTCTTAGACATTTGCTTATCATGAGTATAAAACATGTGTTCTTCTTTTAGTTGCTTAGTCTTCTATTGTATAAAAAATAAAAATAAATAAATAAATAAATAAATGAATAAATAAATGAATAAATAAATAAATAAATAAATAAACAAATAAATAAATAAAAAATAAATAAATAAAAAAATAAATAAAAAAGAAAAGATACCAAATGAGATGCTTGAACTTGTTGAATCTTCGAATATAACGATCTATTAGGCGCTTTTTGGCGACCTAACACACTACAATATTCCTCACAAAATCTCAAGAAATACAGAGGAAAGAGAAAGAGAAATTTTGAGCTCTAAAGGGTTTTGGACGAAATTTTCTCCCCCTGCCCTGAAAACTGTGCCCGAGACGTCTATTTATAGACGTCAGACCTGACCAGAACGGCCCGTTCTAAAATCGGAACAGCCCGTTCTGAAAATGGACGTTATGTGTTAAGTGTGAATCTGGAACGACCCGTTCTACATTCAAAACGGTCCGTTCTAAAAGCGCAACGACCCATTCTGAAACTCGGAACGGCCCGTTCCAGATAAGGAAATTTAGCCCTTTTAACTGACTTGGAACGACCCATTCCCATTTTGGAACGGCCCGTTCTCAGTTAGGGTTGCTGTACTTTTTTGTAACTAGGAACGACCCCTTCCGAATTTGGAACGGCCCGTTCTAGGGTACTTAAGATTTTTTTTTTGGCTTTAAACTTCCTTGTTGTCACCTCCATACTTTGATAGCTCCTCCTCTTCATAATAAATGTCCATTTCATTATTTTTATTTTTTATTTTTATTTTATTTAATAATTGTATGTACATAGTGAATATGATTTGTTGTCTTTAAAATAATTATTTAAAAAGTATTTTATTATACAATAAATAATAATGTTAATTGAATAACATTTTTATCTTTAACATTATTTGGTTCTAGGAGTTTAATGACTAGTCATTTGCTAGCTTAAACTCTCCTGTACAAAATTTCTTTTTAAAAAAAAGTAAAGATATGTTGCAACCAATAACGTTAATTAAGTAGCACTTCTATTTTTAACGTTATTGGAGGGACTTATTGATTAACCATTTGCTAACTTGAATCCCTATGCAAAATTTATTTCTTTAGATAAAAATATTCATGTATACTTACTTTTATGGTTAATGATATTAATTGAGTAGCACTTCTACCCTTTCATATCATGTAAATCATAAAAGTTAATAGAATAATTATTCATTGTCCTAAGTTTTAAGCATAATTTAGCATCAACAAATAAAAATCAATAACATTGATTGAATAACAATTCTATCTTTTATGTTATTGGAAGGGTTTATTGATTAGCCATTTGCTAACCCAAATCCCTATAATTTTCTAATAAAAATATAAAAAAAAGGTTTTCTGAGGAGTAAATTAAATATTTATAAATTTATATAATTTTACGCAATTAATTAAAGGTACTGTTTTTACAGGCGTTGTAGGGTGCTAATACGTTCCCTATACGTAATCGACTCCCGAACCCAACTTTAATTTTAAAGATTACCTTTTAAAGGGTTTTCCAATGTTTTTCCCTTAAAATAAAATATTGGTGGCGACGCCATTGAAAAATAAATGTTAGCATCATCCCGTCGTGATCCCGGTTACGACATTTTCTGATGCAAAACATGTCTTTCTTTCCTTTTTGTAGAACTTTGATATTGTGGAAGTATTTTTAAAATTCAATTTGTTAAGAAAACATTTAGACATATTCAATTTCTTGTTTAGATATTGTAAATAGTAAATATTTAATGCATATATCTTTTTATAACTAAGGATTCATTTTATTTATTAACAAAATTATCTTAATGTAACGTACTTTCATCTTATACCAGGATTCGTCTTAGTAACAAATTGTGTCTTAGTAAAAGATTAATCTTAATTATTTTTAAAAACTTTATTCTATTGATCAAAATTCTTTATGTTTGTTAACAATAAAACTGAAGATCGTAAGAATCTAAGATTATTTTTTTGACCAAACAATATTAATTAAGATGGAAAAATAGTAAAAATGTAATTTTAAAAAAATAAAAATATAACAAATTTATTGTTATCAACTAGATAAATTACTTTTTTTAATATTGATAAATTAATTATTTAGATCTTATATATAAGAATGGAGGTAATACTATATTTTAATATATAAATTATATTTAAAATTGTATATAAGTATTTTTAAATATATAAATTATATTTTAAATTTAAGATA